GTTTTTCTTTTTCAATGGGGGAAGAAGAGAAGTGATAGGATAGCAAAAAAAAAAAAAAGAAAGAAAAGTAATGATAAAAGGGTCATGGAAGCATTAAAAAAATGCACAGAAGAGAACTGAAAGAAGTTCAGAAGGAAATACAGACAAGCAGGACAGTTTTAAAAGTAACACGCTGCATTTATTATATACTTAAGAGGAAAAGCAAGCTATATCTAACAGACTCAATGTATCACATATAATCTTTTTTTGTTTGTTTTACTATATATATATCAAAATTCTCATTTTGTGTTTAAGTTCAGAATAAAAAGTACATGTGCTTAAAAAAAAAAAAACGTGAAAAAAATGTTTTGAAGAAGTCAAAGCCTTTTCCCTCAGAGCCTAAACTTGGGTAAGGTGACTTAAGCTTTGCTACTGGGTACTGATGAAAATTTGTAGTCTTTTATTCTGGTAGAAATAACCAGCTTAGCACCTTGCCAGCAAAAATAATTAGCTAAAATAGCTTTCAGATGGCAGGCTGCGGTGAGTTATTCCCCATGTACAATTTGTTGTATCTGCTTTCCTAGTGACTTTGACATTTATCTTGTTCAAGAGGCTGGGGACAATCTATACGATGAATCAGAACATCATTCCTCTGGAGATGAGTATTTCAAATGTACGTCTTGGGAAGAAGTCCAGAAGTTCCAGGATAAATGAAAGGCCACAGAGCGTCTGCATGTATGAACACAAGATCATCCCTAAAGGGATTCAGGCTTCGGGAAATAATCGACCTTGGATTTGGGTCCAAAGAGAGCAGAACCCAAGAGTTCCTGGGCAACATGGGTCAAAGTGCTTTAGGAGAAGACAAAGGAGGTGGATGAAGTAAATGCCCAGGCACATCCCACAATGGGAACTGCTCTGGTAACTCATACAGAACCTCCTGGATACCAGTTAACAGATGGTGATGACTAATGCTACTGTACTCAATGAGATTATTTTTATGGGACTGGATCACCCAAATCACCTGATTAACAGACATTTCATCACCCAAGAATTAGTCTTTTGATAAAGAAACATATTTCAACAAGCGTTAGAAAACTCTCATAAAGAACAAAGAAACTGAGAAGACCGTATTTCTTTCTTGAAGAAATAAGACTAAGAACAGAAGAATTAGCCTCATTCAGAAGGAAGACTGTATAGGCAGGTGGGAATGTAGTGAACGAAACAACAGACAGTACAAAGGCAGGACAGAGCAAGAATTCAGAGGAAAGCCAAAGAAAGTGGAAGCTGGAGCAGTTTAAAGAAGAATCTAATAGGAACTGACCCTGAAAGGAAGTTCAAAAAATACCAGAAGCAATTAATGTGAAGGTCAGACACATGGCCAAGGGTGGGAAAGCAAGCCTCAACAAAGCTCCTGGCTAGACCAGCGGCATGTATAGGAAGGGCACCATTTTAAATAAAAGCACAGATTATGAAGAATCTTTTTGTGGTTGATTTGTAGATGATACGAGGTTGGATAATCTAGAGTTCATGCTTGCTTTACCTCAGAGTGTCTTTCCATCAGAATGGCTATATACTTCTGGCTTAAAGGCCGTGAAGCTGGGATCTTCAATCCAGCATTTGAAAAGGCAAACTCCTTTCCCCAATACTTTATCTAGCCAGAAACTGATGAACCATTAGACATTCTTCTGATGTGAAAGCTGAAAATGGTAGATTGTTTTCATTAGCTCCCATTCAGCATGAAGTAGAATTAGAAGGGGATGGAGGATAGAGGGTTGAATCTTATCAAGGAGTCTTGGGTTCCAAAGCAGCCATGGGCACTTACTAATTATGTAACTGGTCAAGTCACTTAACTTTTCTGAAACTCAGTTAACCTATAAAATTGGGATAAAAATACCTCTAATACTTGTCAGAGCTGACACAAGGCTCATCTCAAGAAGGTAATATCAGCAAAGTTCTTTGCAAATATTAAAATAACTCTAAAAAATGTCAGCTATTATCTTCATTGTTATTTTCCAGCTGGTATGAAGATAAAGCACAGAATTTCCTGTTTTATTGGCTAATACCTAAACTGCCTTTTAAAAAAAAATACAAGGTGAAAAGCACTTGAGAAACACCTACATGACGAAACAGAATTTAAACTATTCATGGAACCACTTCCTTTCCTCAGCCTAAGGTAGAATTCTGGGTTAGTTACTAAACACCAGATGGCCAGAGGGAAGGGATGAGCTTATAGCAAAGGCATTATAGTTTCAAAGCAGGATGACTACTATGTTAAAAGCACTTGGTTTAGTTATTGAAGAGAATGTGAGAGGCAGGGGCTATTATGGTAAAATCTGGTATACCTTTTCAGATCTGGTCACTACCAGTTATTTTTGCTTAATTATTTTTGTCACAGCAGGGGTTCAACTGTTACTGTGTTGCAAAAATAAAAGGTGGCTATGGATCTATTTTAAAGATGAGTGTGTGGAATGTACTTCCTTGTGGACACTATCAGGATTAATCATAACTGCTGAAGATGAAGACTTAAAACTTCAATGTCTCAAAACCAGCGTATTTCACCAAGTAAAAAGAGGGTTGAAAAAACATCCTAGAATGGACATTTTCACTTGGAATTAAAATTTAGGGAGGAAGGGACCCTAGAGATTGTCTAACTAAGAGGCTCTTAATCTTTTTTATGGCATGGATTCCATTGGAAATCTGGTGAAGCTTACAGACTCAGAATATTTTAAAATGCATAAAATACATGGGATTACAAAGGAGTACATTATACTGAAATGCAGTTATTGGAATAAGTTATCAGAAATGGGTAACTTGTGGCCTCAAGGCCACACGTGTCCTTCTAGTTCTTTGGGGGTGGCCCTTTAGTTGAGTCCAAGTTTCAGAAAACAAATCCTTCTATTAAGAGGATTTGTTCTGTGAAGTTTGGATTCAGTCAAAGGGCTGCACTTGAGGGCCTTATGGGCCACATGTGGTCTTGAGGCCACAGGTTCCCCTCCCCTGGGTTAGGTACACAAGACACAGGAGTCAATGACTATAGTCATCTACTGTTTGATAAATCCAAAATCTCCAGCTTCTGGGATAAGAACTCACTATTTGACAAAAACTGCTGGAAAAGCTGGAAAACAGTATGGAAGAAACTAGGCCCAGACCAACATTTTACACCATATACCAAGATAAGGTCAAACTGGGTACATGATTTAGACATAAAGGGTGATACCATAAGCAAATTAGGAAAGCAAGGTACAGGTTACCTGTCAGATTCTATGGAGAAGAATTTATGACCAAACTAGAGATAGAGAACATTATGAAATGCAAAATGGATAATTTTAATTACATTACAAAGTTTTTGTACAAAGCCAATGCAACCAAGATTAAAAGGAAAGCATAAAGCTGGGAAATAATTTTTACTGCCAATGTTGATAAAGGCTTCATTTCTAAAATATATAGAGAACTGAGTCAAATTTATAAGAATACAAGTCATTTCTCAACTGATAGTCAAAGGATATGAACAGGCAGCTCTCAGATGAAGAAATTAAAGCCATCTATAGTCATTTGAAAAAAATGCTCTAAATCACTATTGATTAGACAGGGGTGGGGAACTTGTGGCCTTGAGGCCACATGTCGCCTTCCAGGTCGTTGGGTGCAGCCTTTTGATTAAGTCCAAGTTTTACAGAACAAATCCTTTTATTAAGGTGATTTGTTCCGTGAAGTTCGGATTCAAAGGACTGCACTTGAGGACCTGGAAGGTCACACGTAGCCTTGAGGCCACAGGTTCCCCATCCCTGGATTAGAGTAATGCAAATTAAAACAACTCAGAGGTACCACCTCATACCTATCTGACTGGCTATTATGACAAAAAAAAAAAAAAAACCAGAAAAATAATGAATGTTGAGGATGTGAGAAATCTGGAACACTAATGCACTACTGGTGGAGTTGTGAACTGATCCAGCCATTCCAGAGAGCAATCTGAAACTATGCCCAAAAGGCTAAAAAACTATACATACCGTTTGATCCAGCAATACCACTACTAGGTCTGCATCCCAAAGATCATGAAAATGGGAAAAGGACCCATATGTACCAAAATATTTATAGCAGCTTTTTGTGATGGCCAAGAATTGGAAATTGAGGGGATGTCCATCAATTGGGGAATGGCTGAACAAGTTGTAGTATATGAATGGAATGGAATGTTATTGTGCTATAAGAAATGACTAGTAGGAGGATTTCAGAAAAACCTGGAAAGACTTATATGAACTGATGCTGAATGAAGTGAGCAGAACCAGGAGAACATTGTACCCAGTAACAGCCACACTGTGCAATGACCAACTTTGATAGACTTAGCTCTTCTCAGCAATTCAATGATCTAAGATAATTCCAAAAGACTCATGATGGGAAATGCTGTCCACATCCAAAGAAAGAACTATGGAGTCTGAATGCAGATCAAAGCATATTATTTTCTCTTTTTTCTTTCTTGTAGTTTTTCCCTTTTGTTCTGTTTCTTCTTTCACAATATGACTAATGTGGAAATATGTTTAATATGATTTTACACATACAGCCTAATTCAGATGGCCTGCCATCTTGAGGAGGGGGCTCAGAGGTAGGGAAGGAGAAAAAAATAGGTAACTCAAAATCTTACAAAAGTGAATGTTGAAAACTATATATGTAATTAAAAAAATGCTATTAAGTGGGAAAAAAGAAATGCAGTTATCAAAAATACACACATATATATGTTTGTTTGTTTTTTTAAAGTTCACAGACCTTAGGTGTTAAAAGCTCCTGCCCTTCACTAATGGCACAAAGTGAAAGGGAAAACTGTTTCTTGGATGAGAAGGGTTTTATTTTGAAAAAGGCCTGCCATACCCATGATTTTGCTTCCATCAGTTCTGTTTTGGTGTAAGAGAAAATTAGGAGTTTCCCCCACTAATAAATGAGAATGAGCCATCATCACTTCCAGTATTATTTTTAAAAAGACATCTTTGAATGTATCACTTACATCTCCTCTCAAATAATAATAGAAAACCAAATTGCTTAAAATCATTTATTTTCCTACAGTACATTTTTTTTCTTCAGGTCACAGAACAATCTGATGTAGTCCTTTCTCCATGGTAAGCACAATTTCCAATCACTGTAGAAACCATACTCCATTTTTGCACTAGTCCACAGACATTTATCAAGCGCCAGCTCTGTGCAAGGCACAGTCCTGTAGGACATAAGTTTGCTCTCCCCTTGCAGCACTTTCAGAAAACATGGGGTTAGTTGCATGTACAGAAATAGCCTCTTCTATAAAATTTTCCATAAAAAAATAACGGGTATTTATTTACAAAGTTTGTGATACTACAAAGTAATATTTCATATTAGTTCAGATATCCTAATTGATAACCCATTAGGAAAGTAAAACTTGTGTATATTTTTACTTGTGTTTAAAATGGTTTAAAGCAGATAGTGACACCACCACATACAATTTCTAATGGACCTATCCTCTGTGATGGTAAATCCTAACATTACACGATTAGAAATTAAATGTCAAACAACAGTAACTCTTTACATACCACTGGATTTCTTAACAGCATTTTGGAAGGTGGGGACGGGGAACAGGAGCAAACTGTTTTGTTGCAGCTAAAAACAAAATGCACAAAGGAATGCATAGTATTGCAAATTTGCTGGAAGCCACTCAGACTTTCTTTATGGCTGGCTAGAATAGGTGATGATTTTGTTTTTAAGGGCCTGCAGAAGGGTTATACCTGTCAAGCACTAATGGGAAAATTTGAACCGGAAAGTCTCAAGAGAGTATTTTGGCAGGCAATGATCTTGACCATAAACAGCAGTTATAAGCAACAAAGCTACCACTGAAACCTTCACCTCATTTGTGATGGAGTGCAATGGAGCCATTTGCCACTGGCGCCTGACATGTCCTGGCTGTACTGGCACAATCCTTTTACGGGACTAAGCATCCAGGACAATCTTAACAGGTAAATGATACTGGCAAATGGTACATTTTTAAATCTGACATGTAGTCTGGGCAGAAGGGTTTTGGGCCATGGCAGTAACAGGTAGCCACGCTGTTGCTAAGATGGTGGCAATACAAACAAACTGATAGCAAACTCCTGAACTGTGCTGTGTAGAAGGAATCTGCAAGGTCTCTTAAACTCCCTGAAAATGTGGATCCATTGCATTGCCTTTCAATGGAAAGAACAATTGTAGGTGAGATGTCTGGAGTAACCCTTGTGCAGTGAGTACCTCCTTTCTGTTGGTGTTGTTGGTGTCCATGTGATGCAAGCACAGCAACGTGCAGTGTCTGCCAGCAAGCTCCAAAGGGCCATCGTGATCCACAGGTGGTTTAGTACACTTGTTAGTGCTTTCTAAGTCCCACTGTATTTTGGCTGCTTTTCATCTCTACATCAGTTCCCCAACCAGAGGGTGAAAAGTCTGTTAAACAGAAATGCACTAGTGGTATGAATTCTATAGGCCTCTTGGTGTGGACTTGCATAAGAAATTATAGTATGAATACATACAAATGTCAAACAGTATTTCCCAGCACTGGCAAATAGGTTTCTGACAAAGCACTCTTACTTTTTATTTTTTGGAGGTTGGGGTGGGACAATGGTTGTTATTTGGGGGTCTGGCAGGGAAATATTAAGGAGAATCGGAAGACCTGGGTTTTATAAGTCCTAGACTGGTCACTTGCTAGCTGTGTGACTCTGGGCCAGTTACTCTGAGTCTCCATTTTAGAGATAATATAGCTGTTCTGCCTATGCTCGCAGGGCTTGTGTGAGGAATATCATGGTTACAAATTGCAGAGCTCTGCAAACAGAAGGCACCGTGCTATCTTGTTCTCTCGCCCCACCTTTTGCCTTTTCAAATATGTGAGCAAAGGTATACATTGAGAAGGCTACGGTGTGACTTTTGGTAAACTAGTGTTGCTGTTTAGTTTCAACTAAAACTAAAAAGAAATATTTGGCTTTCCACTTTGTGCCATCATTTTGCGGTTGGGTGTACCTGAGTTTTCCTTGAATTTTGATAGTTTGTGTTGTTACTGTCATAACCTTGGCCATAAAAAAAATAACAAATGAAGTTTCTTAAGGGCAAGGACCATGTGTTATTCATAGTTGTATCCTTATAGTGGCTTGCACTGAGTAGGTACAAGGTAAGTAAGCAATAACATTTCTTTTCAGGCCCTGCACTACAGGCTTTAGATAAAAGCTTATTAACCACATGGACTTTTGATGGGATACCTCAGTACATTCAAAGTGTTCTACATATGTATATATGTGCCTGATATGCATCCCAATTTCAGAGTTCAAAGGGCTCTTTAGGTAGAAGATTTTATGGAACTATATGGGGTTTGGGCTTTTAAAAGGATATAATTTTATATTAATATGTGTTACTATTATAAATGATTTCTAAGGTCTTTTCCAGCTCATTTATTTATTCACAAGTGGGATTAGTGCCTGGGTTGGACTGAATTATATTAGTCCACAATGCCAAAGTTTCTTTTTGGTGAGAACCATCTGAGTATGAAAGGTATAGATGTTAGTTTTCTTATACAACAGAAGTGCTCATGAAGAAGTGGGCATAAACAGAACTTTGGTAACCCATATCACAGTTTAAGTTCAAAACAAACTTTGTAGTGAATTTTCTCCCAATTTATTTGGTGCTTACGGTTCTGATTTTCAGTTCACCCAGAGACTGCCTTTGGAGACAGCTCCAACCTCCAAACTTATTTTTGAACGTGTAACTTTCATCCTAGTTAAACTCTCCCACACTTTTTGGAGTGTTGGTGAAAAAAGAAAGTTTCAGGTCTAGCTATAGCTGCTTACTTAGAAACAGATGCCACCCCCACACTAGCTCTGGTCAGAATACTTCCCAGGATCATGACCTGACAGCTCCACGCTCCCAGGTCAAGCAATCAGATAATTCACTACCCGGATCTTTGGCATGGCCTCTGCGGTTACGCTGCCCAGGCAGTCACCACTCTTCTCTGGAGCCATTTTCTCCTTTGTTAAATGAGAGAATTGGACTGGACGGTCTGCAAGGTCTTCTCCCGCTCACGTTTCTTCATTAAGGAGTGGGATTAATGCCCAGATTATACTGGATTATATCTACACTGACAAAGTTGTTCCTTCATAAGAAACACTTAAATGAGTTGTCTGTGAACATCGAGCTTATGACAAGCTACAGGAACAGACAGACTGACCAACAGCACTTCCCCAGTGCAGACGGAGGTAGAGTCACTTGGTTTATTTTTCTAATAGGGTAAACAAACCTCTTGTGACAAAATACTAGAGAGTAAGGTGAAAGGAAGCAGTGAACATAGGCATTAATTAGTTATGAAACTGTCTAGGGAAACTACGCTCTCAAGAGCATAGGAAAAAGAAGACACATTTTTAACAGCACAGAGTAGGGCAAAGGGATGGTGTGGCGTCTCAAATCTAGTCTCTGCTACTGCTATGACCACTCTTCTGAGACAGCTTCCTCACACAGTAAATGAAGCAACTGGATAAGACCTTTAAGGCCCCTTCCAGCTCTACCTTACGACCTGAGAACAATGTGCTAGAATTACCATTCCCAACTCCCACATGGTCTACCTAACCATGAAGACAAGGCCATTCACTTTAATGCTTTCTGAAGCTGCTTGTGATCACCAGGACACAACATGACTTTGAAGGGAGAAAGAGGCTTAGACCAAGGGAAAACAAGCATAGGTAAATCTGGCCTCAGTGGCTACAAGGGTGCCAAATTGTGTGTGCGTGTGTGTGAGTGTGAAGATTTGTGTTTTCTTTAAAGGTTCTATTCTGTGCAAATAGGTCTGCAGTTTTTAAAAGCCTCCTTCACAACAATTCAGGTAAGTGCACTGCAGGCCCGGGAACTCTCTCGTCAAGACTGACAGCTGAGTACTCACAGAGAAAGAAGCCCTTGGTTGTGCTGTACCTGAGGGCCACCCTCAATGGTGAATAAGTAAAGTGACAAATTAGAGAGAAGGGCACCTCTGGAGCCAAAGTATCTGGATACTGGGCATCTTCTGAAAGTGGCTTGATCAGAGAAGAAGAGGACTAGGGAAGTGAGATCATCTTCCTATTTAGGCTTTTTCTGTGTGAAGGGAAGCTTTAAACTACTTTCAGAAGATGCCCAGTATCCAGGGGAGTTACGTAAGAACAGTATTCTAACAAATACCTCAACCTATCCTCTTCCCAGACTGGCAACAGGATTTAAGAGAGAAACCCACATTCCAGTTCCAGCTGTATGATCTTGGGTAAGCCCCTTAACCTCTGCTTCAGTTTCCTCACAGAAACATGATACAGTTGGCCTTGGCCTCTAAGGTCACCTCCAGCTGAAAAGGTCAAGAGAGTCTATGAATCTGTTGGCTGCCAGAGTTTGCTAGATCTCAAAGCTACTGGTTCCACAGAGTGTTGTGGGTGAAAAAATTATTGCTTCCATAAACATATGGAAGTTTGATATTTGACCAAGTGCTTTATTTTTAAAAGCCCTGATAATTTTGTAACAGGTCTAGATGATAGGGAGCTTTTGGCACTGTTGAGGCAAACTGTGAACACAGCTGCTTTTAAGCCTCTTTGGTGGAAACTAAAGCAATCTTATTCACCTACTCTGCTTTGGATGCAGAGAAGCAATGGATTAGGCAGCAGGTTCAATGGTGGCAAGGGAGAACAAGAATGAATTCTGAAAATGGACAAATGTTAAAAGTCATTTTTAGGTTCTGACAGTACTGCGCTCTTCCCTCAGACTTTTCTTGAGGGGTGCAATGGGGTAGGAGTCTGTTTTCATGCAGTCTAAATATCTGGATGCTGTTTGAAATAAGTGAAAGAGTTTATTCCATAACTCAGTCAAACAGCAGTTTTCTATCCCTGGGTTCCACTCCCATCCCCCCACCCCAAATTTTTTAGTCATAGAAACATGTAATGCAAACATGTCACATGTTTGGTGTGCGGCTTGATGAAGCCTGTTAGCTTTATCGCCACTTCCTGTTATGCCTGACTGGGAGGCCTCTTCCCAAATCCATGCTAAGATGAATTCTCTACTCAAGACACTAGAACTAACACATCATCATGTCATCTTCCTGACCCCTAAACTACCTAAAGCTTATAGTAATTACATAATCTTGAAAGAGTATTCTCTCAAGGGGACCTGGCCTAATGTCCTCTGTCCTTGTTTGCTGGGTTTCTGAGCCTTGATAAAGACTTGAGGTCATCCTAGGTGTTCACTGGGCTACAAAACATCCTTTCCTTTCCCAAACCCCTTATAATTTAAAAAAGGATTACCACAAAGTAAAATTCATAGCTAATGAGGTCAGCAATTGAACTGGGCTGACAGATACCAAAGTAAGTTATAGGCCCCAATCAAAGAAAACATTTGAATCATTCATTCCTTTGCCTCCCACAAAATTAACATTGAAAAATGATTTCTCCCTTCATTGTTTGGCTTCTTCAAAATCGAGGTGCTACTGCATTTATAGCCCTTAAATCAATCTTCATTTAACATTTTATATTTTTTGTTTTGAATAGTATAAGGTTTACTTAATTTTTAATATTCTGGATAGCCACATGGTATACCACAGTGTAAGGGCCTTGGTATTTCTCCAACTTAAAATGGTATCACATTGTGTCTATTAAATATCAGAATAAGAATTTTGTTGGTAGTTTGCTATGAGTTCTCCAAATTGCCAAAATACTAGTAAAATCTAATTTGTTTTTCTGATGAATACACATTTTAAAACATATATAGAAGTTACCGTTGAGAGATTTTAAAGGGTTTAAGTTTTACTGTTTTACTGGACTTCAGATTTAACTTGAATGAGAGTAGAAAGAGAGCAGAGCAAAGGGGCTCCTCAGCACAACGGTGGGCTTTTGCCTTGATTCTGAGCCTCCTCCCTCTTCCCTACTCCCAGCTGTAATGCCACAATGAGGAATCTTTTACACTTGTGATTTAAGAATTCCTCCCCCATGCACTCTTTCTTTTAAAAGAAGTCAATAATGTAGTATTGCTAACAGTATCTTTGGCTATGAAACACTACCTACTACAAGTCCAATAATTTGGAAGCATTTAACATATTATGACATTTCCATGAAACAAAAATATGGGCCAGTTCATGAGAGATGCAATTTACTCATTAAGAGGTCCAATGTGATTAATGAAATGTACTAAGTAATAAAAGTGCAAGAGGGCTTACCAATTAATATTTTTGAGATATTTTCTTTTACGACAAAATTGAAGTCAACTGCTTCATTTTCACAAATCGTACACTTGTTGACATGACAATACTATCAAATGAAATGTAAGCAAGCACTTCACAACTTGAATTGGTTGTTTTTCTGTTGTTCTCATTTTAAATTAAAAAAAAAAAAAACTGGCTGAATTGCACTGGCTAATAGTTGGATGAAAGCTATTTCTACAGTTTCCTTCCCTGTCAAATTTCAACATTGTAGGCACTGGCAAAAGGCAGTGCTGGAAATTTATCCATGGAAATGCTATTAGAGATTCTTCTGTCTTCCATAAATAACCCTAATAAATTCTTTTGTTTGCATTGGCTAACTATCTTAATTCCTGTTTTTGAACATGACAAATTATATCTGAAGTGTCACTGAAGTTAAAGTATTGAGCTGGTCTTCCTACCTCCTGGACAAATGTCTGAAGTGGCTGGTAGGTGACACACATCGTTAAACAGGCTTTCCACTACTTCAAGAAATGTTAGCACTCGGAACTACTTTAAGACTTTGATTTCTAGAGTCAGGGGAACAAATATTCTAGGTACCTCACGCAAACAGTACAAAGCATAACTGTAAATATTCATCTTGGCATTTAACAACAGCACAGCCAAGAGATATGAGCATGAGAAGTATTTTAGCTAAGGAATCTTCCTTGTCGCACTCTCAGTTCTAAGCAGAATGATACGGGTATGGGAGAAGACAACGGTCCCGCATCTCAGAAGGTGGCTGAATTGACTCATTCAACTCTGCCAGGTCTTCAGGGATTTCTTTACCTCAGGCACAGAGGAAAATACACTTTGTTTGCGCTGTGTCCTAGTGCTTTGTATGGCCAGAGTCTTCATTCATATTATGTTAACTTTCATCTTAATCATCTTAACTCCGATGTCTTTAGCTGTGTTTCACTTACTGTCACTGAATACACAGTGCAAACAAAGGCAAGGGCTGAAGCAATCACACCAAGAATAAGAGCTCACACTAAAAACACACACGAGCAGCATTCTGTAAAATTTAGCTTTTCTACTGTCTTTATTCTGGGGATGAGGGATCCTCATCGTCGTCGTCTTCATCGTCATCGTTGAAAGAGCAGGGGGTCTCGCCTCGGGACTCTGAATAGTGGGATGTTGCGCTGCTCGACTGCTGACTACTTGGGGCAAGGAAATGCCCAGTTGCTAAGGCCACTTCAGCATCCAAACAAAACCCTTGGTTTATACTATTAAATAATTAAAAGAAGACACATAGCCATTAATTCCCAGGTGGAATATTTAAGCTTCGATGAATATACAAAAGAATAAATGCATATCTGGCTCAAGCAAGACCACAGACAGATCTTTTAGTGAACTTTTAAAGTTGTCATAAAGACCTGTGCATACTTTAGAGTTCATACACGAATATTTTGGAAGCTTACCTTGACTGCGATAAAGTGGTACCACTCGTCATATCTAAATTTGGAACTGATTGGGTTGAATTCAGAAGTAGCCCCTGATTCAACCATGAAGGTCCCGTAGACATATCTAAAAAAACCCACAAAGACAGGAAGTACATATGGTGCAAATTTCATGGCTGATACTGTTACAGTCCTAAGAACGGTTGGAAAAGTAAGTGGATAAACTTGATCTTAACTGCAGCTAAGAGGGTCCATTAAATCTACCCATCATTTCTCTGAGAAAGCCCCTCTCAAGATTACTCAGGAAAAAAGAAAGTATCTACCATTCACTTATTTCTTCAATAGTAGGAGGGGGAAAAAAAGGCAACACTTGGGATAGGGGAGGAAAAAAAAAACAAATTAAAATTCTAAACGTGAGGAAGTTGGGAAAGATTTTAAAAAGTCTCCCTGTAGCCAAATTTCCAATAGAATTACCCCAAATCACTCTAGGCTACTGCCACTGAAATTATTAAGAGTCCTACTGAATAAATGTTGGCCAATTCTATGACCACTGACACATTGCTAAGAAATAGATTATTCTTAGAGAGAGCAAGTTTGATCACCAACAAAATATGATAAAATTTCCACATTTGGTTCTTTATCCCCCCCCCCAAAGACCTAAAAGAACTATAGTGTCAATAGGCAAAGCCAGGAGTTGGTGAAAAGAAAAAGATAAATGACAGTTGTAAACCTTAAAGTAATAAAAGAAAACCAAAATAGTAAAAAGGCTTAGAGAGGCAGTGTGGGACAGTGGGGAGAAAGCTAGCCTTAGAGGTAAAGAAAACTGGAATTCAAAGTTCCCCTTATGAAATGTAATGGGCACAAAACTCCTCAGTGCCCTGGGTAACTCTCTAAGACTGACTGTCAGTTGCAAAACAGCTATCATAGTTTCAGAATCAAAAGTAAAAAGTTAACTAAAGGAATAGGAGACATAGGGAACTATGAGGCTGAAAATTAACTTCTTTTGCACTCGTCCACAATATTATACATCCTATAAAATACTTATTCAATAAAGTTTTGAAGCACTTATTAAAAGCTCCTTCTATGTGCTAGGAATTGGGTACACAAAGACAAAAATTAAATGGTCCCTGACCTCAATACACTTACAAGCTATTGAAGGAAAACAACAGTAAATAAAAGATAATTTGAGAGGAAGAAAGTACTCCTGATCAAACTCAAACGCCATTAAAATACTCATAATTATGAAAATGTAATCTTTTTCTGACAATAAGTACAGAATCATGTTATATTAAAGTCACAAGGGACCTTGGAGATAATCTCGTTCTGCCCTACTCTCCACCCCCATTTTGATGAGGTAGAAATTGAGGCCCGAAGCGCATGAGTATCTTATCCAAGTTCATACAACCAGTCAGCCTTAAAGGATGCAAGTCAGGAAATACAATGAAATTCCTGTGCAAGTGTGTTTTTATATGATGGACAAATACAGATGATATGAGCAAGAAAACAATCCTTCCTTGAGGGTTCCATAAAAACGTTAAAAAAAAAAAAAAAAAAAAAAGAGGGAAACAAGGATTTTTTGAAGTCACTGGGACCTAGTTTCAGATAACCTGAAGTCATTTTCTGCAGCAATTCAAGTACTCACGCTACTCCAATTGAGGGAGTGGCTAATGACACACAAGAATTTAACTGGCCATTCATGTAACATCATGTAACATCAACTTTTACTTACACATGCAAAGAAATTTCCTTAATGAATTTTGGTATAATAACCCTCAATATCCATATGGGAAACTCTCTTACTTGTGACATTAAATGTCTTCTACATTTGGCAATAAAAAAAGCTGAAAATATCAGTTTTATTTTGTTACTGATTATGAGCATTCCTGAAACAGCTGATTGTTTTGTCAAATGAGAATTACTATCAAGTGGTATTGTTCTCAGATATTTGGTTGCTGTCTTCACAGTGGACTACAATTTTCTTCTGTAATACATGTTGACAATAGATATAAGTAAGTAAATCTGCAAAGTCAAGCTTTAGGTATGAAAGGTTAGACTTTTCAAATTAAAGCAGAACTCTAATTTAGTAAAAAAAAAAAATAGATGCATATAGATTCTATCCTCAAATCAATATGAATATTGCACTAATGTGATAATCACTGATTGTTCTAAGTCACTGCAAAGGTCATTTGATCTTTGTAGATACTGGTAATGTTACTAATAAGATACTTTCTTTCCTACAGAATACTGCTTTTAAAAAGTGTGCGATTAAAAGAAAAAGTGAGCAATTTGCTGGTGACCTGAAAGCTATTTTACTTTCAGAAACGACTACCACAATGGCATTTATAATGATAGTATCTGCTTAAGGAACAGTTTGAATTTAAGGGGTAAACAGTTCTTTCTGGATCTGGTTTGCATTTAAAAAATAAACCACCAAGTCCAAACCAGTCTTTCTGGTTTGGAAAGTGAAAAGACACAAAGAGCACTTGAAGGGAGGCTGACCACCTGGACAGCTGGCCACAACACAGCTTGTGCTTAAGCATCTTATCAGAATGCCAGAGAAGAGGCCAAAAAGAGCCTTTACTAATCTTGCTAATGAAAAGCAGTGTAGCAAAATAGGAGGAATAGTGGATATGGAATCAAGAGCTGTGTTTTCAAACGCAACACACTGTGTGTCTTTGGGAAATGCAACTTTTTAAAAAGTCACCACATCTCCAGAACAATCCCTTATCTATAAACTGGTGATAATGACACACTCCTAACCAGCCTCATAGGGCTGTGAGCAAAGAGCTTTGAAAACCTTAAAGCATTACAGAAATGTAGACTATCAGTGAGAAACTTTAACCTTGCTTTCCTTGCTGTGCACTTCTGAAACAGGAATACATCATCATGCACATGGGTGAAGGGGCCACTACATCAAAGTGGTCTGAGCTCACTGCTTCAAAAGCCTCACTTCTGATTGTACAATCACCTCGGGTCCTAGAGGGCCCCTTAGCAGTCCCTTCCAGAGACTGCTCTAGAGGAAGGGAAGTGAGGAAGACATGATTAAAATAAAAGAAGTAACAGTTTTATAGTATATGATATCACTGAGAAGGCTGGTAAAAGTGATAGCATTTTCTCCTTTTAGAAATGTTTCGGGGCAGCTAGGTAGCGCAGCAGATAGAGCACTGGCCCTGGAGTCAGGAGGAACTGAGTTCAAATCTGGTCTCCGACCAGATACCACTGGACATTTACTAGCTGTGTGACCCTAGGCATGTCATTTAACCCCAACTGCCTCACCAAAAAAAAAAAAAAAAGTTTCCCCTTCACCAAATTTGGAAAAGGGCATTCCCTGATACAAGCTAAAAGACAAACCACAGGTTCATTCTAAAAGTTTTATCTGCCAAAACACAAGGTTCTCTGGTTTTGTCTGTCCGAGTCTCACTTCAATCACACAAATGATGATGAGATCTATAACCTATTTATTACTGTGTATATAATTAGGATGCAAGCATTTTGTACTGTTCCTGTTTGACCAAGTGGGTGTTTCTTCCATGTGGACAGATAAACAAGATGACTACACTAATTTTAACCTCATTTTCTCATAAAATAAATCAGACAGCTGCCTAAGACTTAAGGTCTCAAAATAGCTGACTTTCAGTAAGTTAAATAAAAACAAGTCTGAACAGGGCAGACAAACAGAAGCCAGGACTCCCAAACTGATCCTGAGATTTATGGTAACTTTCAGTCAAAAAGGCTTTTACTTGTTTGGGAAGGAAACTAGAGGCACCTAGGAGGGATAACGGAGAGTAGAGGGCTTGAAGCCAGGAAGAGATGTGTTTGAATCCTGCCTCTGGCACCTACTGTGTAACTCTGGGCAAGTCACCTAACGGCACTAAGCCCCAGCTTCCTCCTCTGTACAATGAAGGGGTTGGGTTCAATGGCTTCTGAGGTTGAAGGTCCCTTCCAGCTCTGTCTATGATCTTATGAGAATACATAAATATATGGCTAAATCTTCATTTAACCTTTGTTTTGAAATATTAGCAATGCAAAGAGTATATCATAAAGCTGAATGACTTGTGCCAGCATTAATGCAACGCTCTATGACAAATCTGTTCCTTTGCTTCAGTACTTTTAAAAATAAAAAAGGAAGCTTATTTGTATAAGCAAACTGCAAAACAATTATTCATGTCCCTTTACAATTGAAAAAGCATGAATTAAAAAAAAAATTGGAGCTAAAAAGGCCGTATCTCAGCCCCAGCCAGTAGATGAGGTGAAGAACAAGTCAAAACAACAGGACCTGCCTGCCTAATCGCCCTGGGGCCTATGACTGAGAATAAACTAGAGTGAATTTCTGGTGGTGTATTGAGTAAAGCCCTTTGTTCAGCCCACTGCTGAAATGCCAGTGTGACCGGGATGCCAACTCAGGTTGTGGTTAGGAGGTGGAACAGCCCAACAATCCCATGGAGAGCTGGGAGGGAAGAGAATTTAGGCAAAAGGACTAAAAACAGGTTAACCGAAGAACTTCTGATGCTTGCTTGATGCAGTTCCTTATATTTTAAAATAAAAACTAAGCAACTCTCACAGTACCAACAGACATGCTCTTTCCTGATTAAAAATAAAAAACAAAACCCTTCACTTACATCTGAGACATCTGAAAATGACCAAAATGCCCTTCAGTAGCCAAGCCGCTGGGGACAAACCACTTTCACCATCTGGGTCTCAGGGGCCTCATACACAAAATACCTAGATGATCTTTCATATGATTCTGATTATAAAGGTCATGCCTAACACTTGTAGTCACAATATTAATAAAAGAAGGGGAGCCCAAAACTTTAGTTTGTATCAAATTGTACACTAAACCCTTGGAGTAAGCAGAGGATGTTCAGTTTTGAACTACAGGACATTTAAAATGTAAAGTAATACAATCTTAATGCTTTTATGTATAAACTAACACAAACTCAGGTCACAGTGATTCTACAAGGTTTTAGCAGCACTCCTAATAACGAAGAGATTAATAAAATCATTGGTAATCAGCACACTGTAGGCGGAGGGGTGCTGTTAGAATACGAAAAGACAGCATGGTGGAATGGATAGAGAATCAGGAAGAGGAGTATTTGAATCCTGTCTCTGACCCTGTCTAGCTGTGTGACCCTGAGTAAGTCAGCCTTATGTATATGTAAATTACTTCGACAACCTTAAAGTGTTAGTTATTATATTAAAAGTTTGTTCTTTTAAATAGATTATATAGTCATTCTATAACATTACTTCCACTATCACTCAGTTTTTCAAATTGTTTATCATAGAAAACTCAAGGCAAATTTGGGCCCAGGCTGAGGAATTATCACACATTATAAATGAGTCAAATCCTAAACTAATAAGATTGTAAGAAAATAATTTTAGGAATAACTACTGTTTTTAAAATGAACATAAAAGAGACAGGTTTCTTTTGAAAACCAGGCCTTTTCCTCCTAAAACCATTTACTTACTTCAAAGAAATTTGTTGGTTAGGAAAATTTTTGCACACCAAAAAATCTTTTTTTGAGTCCCATTTCCCAAAACCTAAGTCTTAGTCAACTTATTATAAGCTTTAAAAGTGTGGACAACAAAGTGAATTGTATTTATCTTTTCCAGTTTTATAAACTTTGATGCTAGCCTCCCTCAGGCATTCATCTATTCAGACTCAAGATTTCTTATCTGTCCTCAGGCAGAAATCCTACCACTTTTTTGATCATAGAACCTTTTCTCTATCTTCTTTATACCATCCATTAGGGAGATCTTGTTATCTTTCACTAACTGCTTAAATGGTACCTGGAAATAACAGGACATTGAAAAGGCTTGGGAAAGTTACTGAATTTTAGTCTTCTCAGGGAAAATTATTCTAAAACATCTTACCAATGACATAGCCTTCTAACGCCTTTGGCACCAGTGATTTAGCAACTCTCAGGTCCTCGAGTGAACACTGGCCTGTTTCCAGGCCAAAAGACATTCCCATTCGCTTCAACACCTCTATGTCGTCATGGATCTCAAAAGTGTTGTCAAAATTAAAAAGGTACTCGAACCTGCATCAGAGAAAACGTTTACTTTAGGTTTTTTTAGGTATGGGATTTGTTTTCATTGTGTACATTATACAAGGCATACTGCAATGGAAATACACATTTTAAGAAAGGATAGAAACAATTTTGTTAAAATTCACAGTGGTAAGAGCCATTCAGCTGGGTTCATAAAAACAGCATCTCTGCAGAGTTCAAATGATCCAGTTTCCTAATTAAAACATCTTTCCTGTGAGGGAACACAGGAAAGCATAAACCTTTATTGCTCGTTAAACTGGTTCAAACATAAGGCAAAAATTTTGCTCTGGCAAGGACTTTTACTTATTCCAAACCCAATACATATATTACTTTGTAAGAGCTACACTGTATTACATAAAAAATAAAAATAGTGAGGACAGCGGCAATTATTTCCCCTTTTCACTTTTCAATGTAATCTATTATGAGTTGGTCTATTAACTGATGAAAACACATTTTTATACTTTGTACTTTTTGTTTTCAAAAGCCAAGGGTGGTGGTTGTTCAGTCATTTCAGTACTGTCTGACTCTTTGTGACTTCATTTGGGGTTTTCTTGGCAGAGATACTGGAGTGGTTTGCCACTTTCTTTTCCAGCTCATTTTACAGATGAGAAAACTGAGATAAACAAGGTTAAGTGACTTGCCCAGGATCACACAGCTAGTGAGTGTCTGAGGCCATATTTGAACTCAGGAAGATGAACCTTCCTGACTCCAGACCCAGCACTCTATCTACTGTGCCACTTTGCTGCCCACTAAATAAACAATTTTTAGCTTGGCAATTATTTCTCCCTTTCACTTTTCAATTTAATCTACTGTGTGTGGGCCTAATTGATGAAAACACATTTTTTTGTACTTTTGGTTTCAAAAGCCAAGTGTTGACTGCCCTGTGAAATGTGATGTGAACAGATCAAATGTGATATGAATGTGAACAGATCAAATACCCAATAACTGAATTCTTCTCTCTACTTGTTTACTCCTTCACAAGCTACCTGGCTACCTAAACTCTGTGCTTCAAGGTCAGTATTTTTCTTAGTTCTTGTAACTAGTATCATAGCATTACCATGTGCCCACACAGGCCATTTTTCTTTGTTTTTCTCTTTGGGGCACAAGCAGCATGGCTTTTGTAAAAGGGCTTGAATGAAGGCATGGAGTCCTTTTAGCTCTTTGACTGCATGCATTCTTCAACATCACCACCACCAACAGAGGTAATTTGGACAACCACATCCTTACTACAGAAAATCACCAGCAAAGATTAGTTCTGTGAGCATCATTAAAAGTCCAGAGCACCTTCTATTCACAAAAGACAATTCTATGAACATTAATAGTGGCTGGCACATAGCAGATGACCAAAAACCACTTACTGAACGAACACAAAAATTTATGATAGCACAATCACACACTTAGGTGAAATTTCTAACTGTAGGAGTCAAATAAATGCTGATTGGGGAAAATTAGCATAAACCTGTTGTGTTCAAATAATCTGAGGTATGCAGTTTGGAAGAAAGGCCAAAAACAAAACCCAAAGAAAACAGTGGAAGTAGATAGATATCAAAATCTAAAAGTTTTCTATATTTAATATTCACTGAAAATGCTTTCTTAAATTAGAGGAAAACACATATTGGGCAAAAAAAAAAATCAGACATTAATATAACTGAATGACAAAGTTCTGGGGCCTGTGCTGGACTAACAAGTTTCACAAGGCTTCTGAGCCTTGTTCCAAAGTCTGAAGAGCCATTCTTAAAAAGCCACTGATGTATATGAAAATCTTGCTAAGTGCAGAGAAGGGAGAACAAGTTTACTATTTTCATAGATCCATAGTTGCCAAAGTTTCTGCCATCTCCTTAATCCTCAAATACGCTGTGAAGAAGAATCAAATGAAACATTTTATAAAGTACCATCCTTCAGTGACCAGTAAAATGCTGATTGATATCTTCCAAAACATGACAATGGTTTTCTTGAAAGACTCTTAGTGAGGCTGATTTCTAATAGAACATTTTAATTTTTGCAACTATCTGAAATATCATTTTAAAGAATGTAAGCCCTAACAACTTTAAGAAGTCAACATACACAGAACAAAAATCCTTGATAGGAGTATGTGCTTTAGCCTAATGTGAAACTTCTCAAACCATTATCACATATGTACAATCATGTGATAAATAAAAACGAGGTTAATTTAGCTTGTGCAAAAACACCAAGGTGACATGCAAGAACTCAGCTTGGCAATTCAATCGAAAAATCCTAAGGGAAACTTGTTAAGGATTTTAGCATTACCTTATAACCACAGACAAGACTGTGTGACTTTTAATGACTCCATTTCTGAGCAGTATTTTTTTATTAAATTGACTCTGAAAAGGTTAAACAATCAAGATTCAAGCAGGAAAGTTCTATGTATGTGGTTTCTCCTAGGATTAGCCTATTTCCAAAAATCATATCTATCAATATGATATGGAAGCAATGTGTGTTCACATGTAACATTTTTAGGAGTCCAAATACTACAGTACATACAATAGTATCCAAATACTACAGAATATACTATAGTATATTCTCAGGCAATTTGTAAAGTAAACATTTCTTTACTGCTGCCCCTAAGGTCATCACTTCTCTTTTTAAAAATTCTGTTCCCTCTCATTAGCTGCTCCAGGTACCCAGCACTAAGAATAAGAACATTAGCAGAGGTAACAGAGATCTAAAGAGTAAAGTGAAATAACAGGAAGAAGAAAGGACAGCAAGCCCATGGGGATTTCTGATGTCTCCAAAATGGCCCTTAGGCCACAGGCTGGAATACCAGTGACTTACATTATTCTGATGACAGAAAAAATGAGCTGAGATTTTTTAAAGTGCCATTTTTCCTCTGTGAAGCAACAGTCTGTCAGACTCAATCAAATACAATTAAATCCAATTCAGTTAGAAAAGCATTGTTAAATGCCACTATGTTTCAGGCATTTGTTGTGATAGGCGCTAGGAAAAGAAAAAACAAAAACAAAATCTTTCTTGCCCTCAGGGATAATCCACCTCCTATCTTTACACTCAATGATTTTCACGCAATGTAAGTACGTCCAATGAATATAAAAGCGCACAAAAGATGCATGTTTTGATAGCATCAAACAACCACAGAGTTGGAAGAGACCATCTCATCAAACATGAACCTGATTAGGAATCCCATCACTAAATACGTGGTCATCCAGACTTCCCTGGGAGAGCCCTCATGAGGGGGAGCCCACAACTTCCTCTGGCAGGCAGATCATTTCATTTCTGGATAATTTTAATCGCTAAGAAGTTTTTCCACAGTTCAAACTGAGATTTGTTGCCTCTGAACTTCTCACTGCTCCAGTTCTGACTTCTGGGGCCAAGCACAACAAATTTAATCCCTCTTCCAAAAGACAGACCTTTCAAGTCTTTGAAGACAGCTACCAAGGCACTTTTACTCTTCTCACCAGGCTAACGATCACTACAGTTTCTTCAACCAATCCTCATCCAGCATGTTCTCAAGGTCTCCCACCACTCTCTTCTGGACCCTTTCCATCTTCTTAATATCCTTTCTAAAATGTGGTGCCTAAGATAAACACAATGGTCCAGGTATGGCTGAGCAGGGCAGAGGACAGCAAGACTGCCTTTTCCATGTTCTTGACCTACAAATGTCCTGCTGAAGCCTTATCACATCTTTTTTGGCTGCCAATCCTTCTGCGGCTTCATGTGGAGCCTGCAGTTCAGCAGACCCTGAGATTAATTACATATAGTTATAAAGTGGCATCAAGACACAATGTTTTTATTAGAACACAGAGTGAATCAAACCCTTTCCTTTATTTACTATGTGATTTGTGCCAGACACTGAGGTCTTCTCTCAAGCTGAACTGTCAAGCATTCAAACTCTACTGCAGAGAGTGCAACTCTAATGGGCTGGCCACTTAGCCAGAATGCCAAATGCACATTAACCTAAAAGACTACTTTATGCAGAATTCACACAAGGCAAGCACTCACACTGAGATCAGAAGAAGCAATACAAGGATTCTCTCAAGAAGAACCTTAGTATCAATTGTGGGGATGCTGGCACAGAACTGTTCAGCATGGAGCACCCACGTCACAGAAAGCACTGTGCTCTACGAGCAGAGTAGAATCGAAGTAGCACAACGGAAACATGAGCTATATAAATCCAGAGAGATCTCCCTCCCAAATGTTCTAACAGACTCTTTGTGCCCAATCTGCGGCAGTCTTTTGAGCTCACATTGGACTGATCAAGCCACAGTCAAACACACGGTACTTCGATTCCGACGTCGTGATGTCACTGGTCCTCTTCGATTACCAAGTACAAACAACACGTGATTTCCTAAATGTACTCCCACTCTGTACTATGTGATAAATACTGTTCGAACGGGAGCAGAATGCCATTACTGCTCCCTGCTGCTGGCTGTCCCAAGCCATCAGATCCTGTCCTGTGCTGGCATGAAGTCTCTTTGATATGAATTTGAAGATGCGTTTGCTTCCCCAAATGAAACCCCATCCCACCTTATTCACACTTACTTGTCACTTGAGATGCTGCAGTCTATGACAGTTCTTTTGCTTGTGTTGACGATTATAAAAGGCAGTTGTATGGTGGAGTTCAGAGCTGGTGGGCCCTGGCTCTGCTGTTCATTCTGCCGATTCCTTTGTACCAGATTTTTAAAAGCTATTTGCTAAAGTAAGGATAATAATAAAGGAATGGGATCAGTGGATGTGATTAAGAAATTCTAACTTCATGTGATTTAGAACACATTTAAAACCAGACAGTTAATTTAGGCTATCAGTTCTTTAAGGTACTTACACTGATGTATTTGTAACAAGATGAACCTACAAGAAGTTACTAAAGAAGAATAACCTGGTTCAATGGCCATGTTTCCAAGAGGAAAAGTGAATTAAAAAAAAACTTTTACTTACATTGTAATTTCAAAAGGAGATTGCATCAACTAAATGTGTTTTTTGTTTTGTTTTGTTTTGTTTTTAGGAAATTTAATAACATTCAGTTAGTCAGTCATTAAACATTTATTTAGCACCCACTATATATCAGCACTGTGCTAAGCTAGGTGATACTAAGCTAGAGCCCTGGGCCTGGAGTCAGGAAGACCTGAGATTAAATCCAGCCTCAGATATTTCCTAGCTGTATAACCCTAGACAAGCACTTAACCTCTGTCTGGCTCAGTTCCCTCAACTGTGAAATGGGGATAATAATAGCACCTACCTTCCAGGGTTATTATGAGAACCAAATGAGATAATATTTGTAAAGTACTTATCACAGTGCGGGACATATGGTAGGCACTTAATAAATGCTTGTTTCTTTCCTTCTCCCTAAATGCTGGAACACAAAGAAAGGTACAAGACATTCCCGCTCTCAAGGAGTTCTCAGTCTAAATAGGGAGACAACATGCAAATAACTATGTACAAAGAAGCTATATAATATATAATATGTTCAACCATTTATTAACATCTATATTAGCTGGCATGTTAATTACTCCGCAGAAAGGATTTTGGTTCACTAGTCTCACTGTTATAACTTTGCAAGTTCCATGGTATTATAGACATATCTAATTAAAAAAAAAAACTGGTCTGTCTAGCTACATGCATGTGTTATCTTTTTTTTTGCTTAGGCAGTTGAGGTTAAGTGACTTGCCCAGGGTCACACAGCTAGTAAGTGTCAAGTGTTTGGTCTGAGGCTGGATTTGAACTCAGGTCCTCCTGATTTCAGGGCCGGTGCTCTATCCACTGCGCCACCTAGCTGTCCCCATGTGTTATCCTGTAATGCGTACAGGTACCACTGGAACATGCATGCATAAATGCACAAGGAAAAATAGCCATCCACAGTATGGCTGGGAAACAGGAGTCGGAGGGATAAAAAATAATAGCATCTGATGGGCTGTGTTTCTTGATACAACCATGAGGGTAGTTGAGATCACTTCATCTTTTTAGTGAAGACAGAAGCTGTTCCCTACACTTCTGATGACCTTAACCAGAACAAAAAAAGTCCAGTAAGTACACTTAGCCCTCCTGTCCCTTGCCTGCTCATGGCCACAGACCTGCACCCTCTTTCTCCCAATTAATCTCAGTGGGACAATTTGTACACATATTTTGTGGGGATAAGCTACCTAAATGTGGGGATTAGCATTACCTAAATCACGGGGTTGTTTTTAGAAAAATGCTTTGTAAACTGTAAGGTGCCAAATAAATTAGGCTGCTGTGTCATTATTAGTCTATTGATTGTGGTATAAATAAAAAATAAGGAAAAGCAACAATGGGAACTTTTTTCAATCTGATCCTTCTGGCTGAACATCTAATGGATAGGCTACACAGGACAGAGATCTTTCCTCAGACTAACTGCATAAATCACCAAGGGCTTGCCCAAGGCCATGTCTTTAAGACAGTAACTTTAGGGTGAACTGTGAGGTTAAAAGTAGTAAGTTTTAAACAATTCTGAGCTTAGAATTTGAAACAAAAAGCCTGGCTTTAAGGTTTTGAGTCAATTCCAATAAGACAATCTTTACCACACCCAATCCTTAGTGTACTATGGAAAACACCTGGGGACAATGAATGAAGGTGTAATGAAGGTGAATGAAAACTATAGATAATTATGTTAAGACATATGAATAGCTATAAGATATAAGGATCAATGGGAACCGAAATGAAGAAAAATGAAAATTAGGGTGAGAAGTGGGAAAGATGGCAGCTTAGGAACTCTTGGCAAATCATCTGTACCAACAGAAAGGAGAGACAAGTTAGAGGAAGGAATATGTCTGTCTCTTGCTAAGGCACACATACTGAAATGAATTAAGTAAGTGCTCAAATGAGCTGTCTACCAGGACCTTAGAATAACAATTATTTAAACTAATCAAAGGCTGGTTTAACTCATGAACTCATTTCTTATCCTGTGTTCCCCAAATCTTCACCAAGGTTTTTATTATCACGACACACGAGCCATTTAGTAACACTTTGTTTTCTCAACTTTGTTTTCTATCTTAATCTATTCCTCTCTTTTGCTTTTTCTCTTTTTTCCTATGTTCTCTCCTCAGACATAAGACTAAGAAGATAAAAGGAGTAAGAAATAATCATTTGAAATATTAATCAAATTCCTGTAGAACTGATTTACCTATGCCATACATATCAGATAAAAAACTTAAATCAGAAAAAAAAAACAAGAAACTGCTTTCAGTAAGATTACTTCTTTCATTTATTTGTGAGGATAGAGTGTATGGTGGAAAGAGAACCAGATTCAGAGTCAGAAGACCTGAGGCCAAGTCCTGTGTGACAACTGGCTAGTCATTTAATATTTGTAAGTCTTTTCTCATCTTAAAAAATTTGCAACACTATTTACTTTTCTCTACCTCACAGACTTGTGAGGAAAGCACTTTATAAAATTTAAAGCACTATATGAGGTATTATTACTATGAAAAATTCAGCAAAGTATAAGAGGAATCAAACAGGTAAAGAATATTTTGATCATACAGGAAATAGATGATTACCTAACCAGTCAAGAAATCAAGTAATTTAAGCCTGAATTATGTATTTACATATATTTAAAATTTTTTGCAACCAATAATAATGGCTACAACTTTCAGCTGAGAAAGACAAAAGTCTCAAAGCCCTTTCTGGCTCTATTTGAAGTTTATCTGCTTGTAGAGAAAATGGCATTATTGTATTGTTCAAAGTGCATTTTTACACCAATTATAATAATCAAAAAAGGTTATTTGGCCCAACCACCCTGTGACTCCAACTCACATGATTTTACACAAAGATTCCATTATGTTCAAAAAGTATCCAAACCCTTAGTGGTGATCCAAACAATTACAAATACAGGGATCCTTATTTAAATGCTACACTTCTTTTTCTTAAGCAGAAATGGCCTTCAAGTTCTGATGCTTCTATCCCATAGTGAGAAGAGACTTCTATGACTGCAGAGTCCTAAACCACAACCAGTATCAAGGAGCCTTTACAGCGGTTTATGTCCAGAATGACAACAGACGGTGGGGGTAAAACATTTACATTTCTCAATGTAAGTCCTTCATAGGGTGAACAAACTTCTGTAAGAAAAAGGCAAGTACAAATTGCAAGAAGCTGAATCGTTCCCAAAGACTAAGAGGCAGAAGAAGAAGAAGGCTGAGACTAGAGTGGTATTGAGACAACCCTGGGCGGAAAGGCTACTGCCACTCAACACAACCCTATTCCCTAAGCATCTGCAAGTCAACAATTACGAGCATTCTACAGATGAAGTTAAGTCAAAGGAAACAGCGTGCACATGCGCGCGCGCACACACACACACACACACACACCACAAGCAACACCCACATACCTGCAGTAGCAGCTCCTGCAGCTGAGCCCTCTTCTGCTTTATCCGCTCTATTCTCCTTTGCTTCTCCATCTTTAAAACATGGATTACAAACAACATCAATATAATTAGACTAAAGAATAAGGATGTGCCTTAGCCTCCTTACCCATCCTCTTTTCTGTGACAGCAAGGACAGCGTAGCACTTGTCAACAATAGCAAAATCCACCTATGCTTTAAAGCTACTGCTAAAATTTTAGTAGCTAGTCAAGTATAACATGTCCAATAGTGTGATGGCTGAATAAAATGACATAAAAGTTAGCAACATTAGCAAAACTGCTAATAAACATGACATCGCTTGTCTCCAACATTTAATCTAAGAACCACGACAATGCAACAAACCCCTCATTTGCAGACAACATTTTCACAGTTTCCCCACAAAGAACAGAAAAGTTATTTACTTTGGCCTGGCTCTTCTTCTATCTCCCTGCTTTTCCCAAACATTTCTCTTCTAGGGCTCCACCAAATACCGTTTACTAGAGTTGCTGGTCTATTCTTTGCTGCTTCTGTGCACTTCTGCCGAAGTTTGTGTTGCTCTAGTTAGGTATCAGAACACTTAATCTTTCATATTTCCAATCTGATTTTTGATATAAAATAATAATTTTTGTTTAGGAGGCATTCTGATCAACTAACTCTTTGAGTTTATCGATGGTGGTCTATCTAAAGAAGTCAGTTAAAGGTCTCTAGCTGTGCTGGAGTCATTTTTGGTATCTAGCTTGCCTTAGCAGCAGCCAAGGAAGACATTCTGTTTTGTTTTGTTTTGTTTTTTTCCTTAAAGAAACATATACTGTCAAATCAAGAAAAACTCAGAGAAAAAGATCCTCTTCTTTTAACTTTCACATGTCACAATTCCTTGTTTCTGGATACAGACAAGTTGAACACACATTATTTTTGACTTGCTGGGGAAAATGAGCTGAGAGAAACATGAAATCAACCTTAATTACCTCAACAGCTATATAATCAGCTTGAGTTATCTGTATTTATGGCCATTAGAGTAAAGTTATCCCCAAATGAATTTAAAAAACAACATTCCATGACAAAGTTTAATTCAGGAAGGATTTTCTTAAATTTCTACTTTAATGAGAGGGCATAGCTAGAGAGAATAGATGTTTTACATTTTAATTGTGTATGGGATAATTTCAGCTTTTTATGGTTAAAGGTTTCAAAAAATTCAGACAAGATATACATGATCCCATAAGACTAAAAGGGAAGTAGGTTCAAGAAAAAAAAATCATTATGACCCCATCACAAATGATTGTGATGAGGAAGAAGAGGGAAAGCATCTGAAGAGTCCAAGTGGAATTTATGATGAATTTAGATTTGAAGATGGTAGGTAAGAAAACCTATAGTAAGTTGACAAAGATTAAGAGTCAGTCCTAAAAAAAAAAAGTGATCAATGGATTTGAAAAATTTCAAAAAAAGAAAATTAAACTATGATTGACCATCTGAAAAACTGTTCAAAATCACTAAAAATCATGGAAACAACAAATTTAAACTATTCTGAAATATTTCACACCTTTCAAATTAGAAAAGATGGTAAAAGGATGAGGAAGGTCTGTGGAAAGACAGACTAATCTACTGCTGCTGGTGTTGTGAATTCTATAAAACAACATGAAATTGTTCAAGACCCAAACAATCCCACAACTGAGTTTATTTCAAAGATGTTAATACTAGCAAGAAAACACACACATGCATATGTACAAAAACACTCATACTAGTATTATCTGTAATAACAAAAATGGGTTTTAGGATCAAGGGAAAACTGAATAAGTTGTGATACAGATATGCACATATATGGTACAGTACTGCAACATTAAGAAATGAAAAAAAGAGCATGCAAATTTCAGAGAAATGTGTATAGTCATGGAGGAAAATAAAGCAAGAGGAACTAATTAATCATATAATGACTACAACAAAACAAAGGCAGATAACAGAAAAGGCAATAAAACTGGTTAGTTTTGCCTAATGGAGCTGAAAAATAATGGATAGTCCAGGTACCAGATGATTAAATTAAAATGAAAGCATACATTCTTCCTTTTGCTAATAAAATGTGAACTATAAAAATGGAAAGTGGTGTGTATTAACTTCTTGTTTATTGTTACTTCTTTAATGTTTTTCTTATTCAGTAAATGTGTTTTACGAGGTTTGAGTATTTGAGGATGGTGTTAATTACACCACAAAATAAAATATCAATAAAATAATTTTTCAACATAGATCAGGTTAGGGGCAAGGACAAAAGCAAGATTATAACCGAAGGTACATAAAAGTGTCTTAATATTACTATTATTAAGAATGAACGGAGACCTATGAAAAATGCTAAGGAAAACAAAAAGGATTTTGTGTATATGTGTAAAGTGGTAGCAAGGTGGTTTTATGCACAGATCACAGAATTAGGATTCAGTAAGACCTGAGTTCAAATCCAGCCTCAGATACTTCCTTTGGACCTTTGCAAGTCACTGAAACTTGTGATTCTTGTTTCATCATGTGTAAAATGGGCATAGGGGCAGCTAGGTGGTGCAGTGATAGAGCTCTGGCCTTGGAGTCAGGAGGATCTGAGTTCAAATCCAGCCTCAGACATTTGACACTTACTAGCTGTGTGACCCTGGGCAAGTCACTTAACCCTGATTGCCTCACCGAAAAGCAAAATAAATAAGTAAGTAAAATGGGGATAACAAAAGCATCTACCTCCCAGGGTGGTTGCGAGGACAAATGAGGCAGTATTTATAAAGTGCTTTGCAAATTGCAAAATATTACATAAATGTTAATTGGTATTATTGTTGCTATTATTATTATTTCAATGAGATATCTAGTAAAGTTTCTCAAAACAATCTCAAAACAACATGGTGAGAGAATGGAGGTCTGAAAATAAAATTTAATTTTAAGAAGTACAGTGGAAAACATGGAGAAGTGTAGGCTAGATGATAGTATTAGATGGATTTAAAACTGACTGAATGACTGGATCTAACTGTTGATTAATAGATACTGAGCTGCTGTGGTAGGGAAAAGGTGAGATCTTTGCTAAAAAGCCACAGGGATCTGTTTTTAGCTTTGTTTAGTTTAACATTTCTACCATTGACCTGGATGAAGGCAGGGATGGAAAGTTTGTTAAATTTGAGGATGACACAAAACTGTGAGGATGACACAAAATATAGCTTATATGCTGGATAGATAAATTCAGAAATCTGAAAAGATCCCCACAGGCTGGGATGATTGGCTGGGTAGAATAAGCAAATATAATGGGAAATTATTATGAAGTTCTAAAATTGGGTTAAGAAATAAGCTATAAAATACAAGATGGAACTATGTGAGTGAAAAGTGAAAAGTTTTAGTGGTCTGCAATGTCATCATGAGGTCAACAGTGTGATGTGGCAATTTGGAACTATGGCCAAAATCACTAAACTGTGATTACCCCAAAGAGATCAAAGAAAGAAAGGATTCATCTATAAAAAATAATATTCATAGCAAATATTTTTGTTATAGCCAAGACCTGGAAACTGAAGGGATGCTTATCAAATGGAGAATGGCCAAATAGATTACTGTAATACGAATGCCATAATGTTGGACTAAAAGAAACGACGAAAAGGATGGTTTCAGAGAAACCCAAGAAGGCTTGTATGAAATGTTCCAGAGTGAGGTAAACAGAACCAGCAGAAAAATTTAGACGTTAAAAACAATTGAAGAGAAAAACAACTTTGAAAGAATTCTGATCAATGCAATGACAAATCATGACTCTATAGGACTGATGATGAAGCATGTTTACCTCTAGTGACAGAAGTAATGAACCCAAGGTGCAGAATAAGACATACATTTTTGGACATGGCAAATGTGTGGGTGTTTGATTTGATTATGCATATTTGTTAAAGGATTTTCTTTTTTTTTCCATTTGGGGGAGAAATTTGGAAGGGATGTGGGGAGGGGGGTGGCTAGCAATAGTTTCACCAAAAAAAAAAAAAAAAAAAAGAAAGAAAGAAAAAAGAAAAAGGGTCACTGAAGCATTTTAAAAAATGCACAGAATAGGGGGCGAAGCCAAGATGGCAGAGTAAAAGCAGTGACTTGAGCTCTCCCCCCAACTCCTCCAAATACCTATAAAAAATACCTATAAACAAATTTTAAAGCAGCAGAACCCACAAAAAGACAGAGTGAAACAAATTTCCAGCCAAAGACAGCCATTGGATGGTTGATCAGAAAGGTATATCGTGCCAGGCGGGGAGAGGAGCGCAATTTAGAGTGGCCCCGCAGGCCTCAGCGACCCTAGAGCAGGCCTCAGGGGACTGAATCGTGGGCAGCTGTGGCGGTTTCCAGACTTCTCAACCCACGAACGCCAAAGACAACTTAGAAGGTCAGTGGGAAAAGTCTGTTTCTACAGTGGTGAAAGAGGAGCGTGGGGTCCCAGCCCCATTCCTTGGGGCAGTGGCTGCTTCCTGAGCTTCCAACCCACAGACTGAGGGGGAATCGAGTGGCTGATCAGAGGGGGATTGCAGGGATCTCTCTGCTGGTGCAGGATTCTCTTGCTTTGCCTGTGCTTGGATCTGGGTCACAGTTCTGGGTGGTGGTCCTGGGGTGAGGAAAAGAGCTGGCGCTGGCGTGGTGGAGCTTGTAGTGGCTGTGGAGGGGAAACCCTCCTCACAGTTCCAAGATGGAAAAGAGTGCTCACAGACCAGAGCACAGGCCAGGAAAGGAGTAAACACCTCGCCCTTGATCATAGCACCTTGGAAGAACTGAAAATTTATGGGTCCCTAGAAGTATCTCTGAAAACAGCTGCACAAAACCCCTGAAGATTAGAACAGTACACTCTCCACACTGGAAACAGACTCCTACCTTAACAAAGAGTTTGTAACTCAAGTAATTGGCTGAGATCATGAGCCAGCAGCACAAAAAGAGTCAGACTATATTATCTTACTTTGATGACAAAGAAGATCAAAATATACAAGCAGAAGAAGACAATGAAGCCAAAGCTCCTACATCCAAAGCCCCCAAGAAAAATATGAATTGGGCCCAGGCCATGGAAGAGCTCAAAAAGGATTTTGAGAAGCAAGTAAGAGAAGTAGAGGAAAAACTGAGAGTGATGCTAAAGGAGACCCAAAAAATTACTGAAGAAAATAACACCTTAAAAAATAGCCCAACCCAAATGGCAAAAGAGGTCCAAAAAGTCAATGAGGAGAAGAATGCCCTAAAAAGCAAAACTGGCTAAATGGAAAAGGAAGTCCAAAAGCTTACTGAAGAAAATACTTCCTTAAAAATTAGAATGGAGAAATTGGAAACTAGGGACAATTTGAGAAATCAAGGCACTGTAACACTAATCCAAAGGAATGAAAAAATAGAAGAGAATGTGAAATATCTCACTGGAAAAAACAACTGACCTGGAAAACAGATCCAGGAGAGAGAATTTAAAAATTATTGGACTATCTGAAAGCCATGATCAAAAAAAGAGCCTAGACATCATCTTTCAAGAAATTATCAAGGAAAACTGCCCTGATATTTTAGAACCAGAGGGTAAAATAGAAATTGAAAGAATCCACTGATCACCTCCTGAAAGAAATTCCCAAAGGAAAACTCCTAAGAATGTTGTAGCCAAATTCCAGAATTCCCAGGTCAAGGAGAAGATATTGCAAGCAGACAGAAGGAAACAATTCAAGTACTGTGGAAACACAATCAGGACAACACAAGATTTAGCAGCTTCTACATTAAGGGTCCGGAGGGCATGGAGTATGATATTCTGGAGGGCAAAGGAGTTAGGACTACAACCTAGAATCACCTACCCAGCAAAACTGAGTATAATCCTTCAGGGTGAAAAATGGTCATTCAATGAAATAGGGGATTTTCAAGCATTCCTGTGGAAAACACCAGAGCTGAATAGAAAATCTGACCTTCAAATATAAGACTCAAGTGAAACATGGAAGAGGTGAACAGTAAAGAAAAATGATATGAGACTTATTAAGGTTGTACTGTTTACATTCCTGCAGGGAAAGATGATATTTGTAACTCATGAGTCCTTTGTCAGTATTAGGTAGTGGGAGGGAAAAAATTATATGTATGTATATATAGATAGATAGAGGGCACAAGGTGAGTTGAAGATGAAGGAGTGATATCTGGAAAATAAAATCAAGGGGTGAGAGACGATTATACTGGGAGAAGGAGAAAGGGAGAAATAGAATGAGGTAAAATATCTCACGTGAAACAGACAAGAAGAGGCTTTTACAATGGAGGGGAAATGGGGAAAGGTGAGAGGGAATGAGTGAATCTTATTCTCAGAGGATTTGGCTTAAGGAGGGAATAACATACACAATGGGGTATGGAAATCTTTCTTACCCTACAGGAAAATAAGGGGGGAAAGGACAAGAGAGCAGGGGGCTGATAGATGGGAGGGCAGATTGGGGGAGGGAATAATTAAAAGCAAACACTTCTGAGGAGAGACAGGGTCCAAAGAGAGAACAGAATAAATGGGGGGTAGGATAGGATGAAGGGAAAGTGTTTTGCATGACTACACATCTATAACCTATATCGAGATGCTTGACTTTTCAATGAGGGTGGGTGGGGAGGGAGGGAGAAAATTTGTAACCCAAAGTTTTAAAAACATATGTTAAAAATAAAAAAAAAAATTAACCAAAAAAAAGTTATAAAAAAAAATGCACAAAACAGAAGGAACTTCAGAAGGAAACACAGATAACTAGAACAGTTTTGAAAGTAACATATTGAGTTTATTATACACTTAAAAAAACCCAAGTTATACATAATAGAATCACAGTTTTATACAGGACATTTACATTTTCTTTTCTATTTCACAGATGTGAATGTTCATTTTTTTGGATATTCATTAAATCCAGAATTTTAAAAATACTGCTAAAAAGAAAAAGGAAACACTTTAAAATATTCTCAAAATTACTAATTATAAGATAATATTGTTATTATTTTTGAAAATTCTGCTATTTTAAATTTCTTTCCTCCCTGCTCTTCATGGTCTTATAGAATCCTCTTTTTTCAAGATTCAGTTCAAGTACCACCTTCTACACGAACCTCAACTGTCAGGGCCATACCTCTTAAACTAACTTATGTTTAACTACTTTGTATGCATTTCTTTCTCTTTACAGTTTCCATACATGTTTATATATGTATGTTTTCTTCCCTATCAGAATTATAACATCCTTGTGAGTCAGGGTTATTTCCATTTATTATATTTTTATCTCTAGCACCTAATATAGTGCCTGGAACATAGTAGATGCTTAATAAATGTCAAGTGGCTGATTTCTAAAAGCTTATTTTTTTTAAACCAAAAATTATGGTAGCTAATTGATTAATAATAATAATAATAATAGTAACAGAAATAGCTAGCATGTAGTGCTTTAAGGTTTGCTAAGCCCTTTACAAACATGATCTCATTTTATTCTCACAAAAGCCATGGGAAGGTAGTGCTATTTTCTCTACATTTTGTATATTTTGTAGATTAATATTTATTCAACAAGTTATAGCTAATTTTTTCTAGTGTCTATAGAAAAAAATAATAAAATCAACCAATCAATTAATTAATCAACTAATTATCTCAACTATACTTTAAATTATCTATTGGTATTGCTTACATAGATTTTAAAATTCAATATAAACAAGTTCTAAATAATTGTGAAAATATAAAATATGAAGAAAATATAGATAATAATGAAAATATATTCAAATTAGATGAAAATTCTTTCACAAACGAAGTAAAATAATATAAATTATATGATTTAAAAACAAATAATCTTGTTCTTACCTCTAGGTTTTGACATTCTTGAGCTGAATTTGTAGGAAGCCCAATCCATTTTATTTCTTTTTTTTCCTTTGAAATTATGTTCATTGCCATTAGCACATTGAGGGCATCATAAACTCTTCGTCTAATGTTCTTCTGATCATAAGCCTGCTAAAAAAGGTTTCACTGAGCCAGGAAATTTAAATGAAGGCAGAATTTTTACTTTTGTTATGACACTGGCAAAAGGGAAAGGAATTTGTTAAAAATTATAATGGAAGAGAAAAAAACCTCATAGCACTGTGATAAAATTATGAAGTATTTTTATTTGTGAAAACAGGAAATAGGAAATACAAAGTTTGAAAAATAATGTTAAAAAGGGAAAAATGTCAAACATACAACCACCATTCATAGCAGCATTTCTTGTGGTAGCAAAGAATTGGAAACAAAGTAGATACAATCAAGTGGGAACCTGCTGAAGAAATTGTGATACATAAATGCAATGAAATGTTACTATGCTGTAAGAAAAGGCATAGATGAAGAATTCACAGAAGCACAGAGGATTTATATGATCTGATACAGAACGAAGCAAGCAGAACCAGGAAAAAATATTACATCCAGTGACTATAACCATGTAAATAGAACAGAACTAAAACCGAACACTGGGGAATTAAGTTTGTCACCAGAGACAACTCTCTGTTCTCTTTCAGAGGTGGGTGTGGAATAAAACATGTATTTTGTTTGTTTGTTTGTTTGTTTTTAGACAATTGGGGTTAAGTGAATTGCCCAGGGTCACACAGCTAGTAAGTGTCAAGTGTTTGGTCTGAGGCCGAATTTGAATTCAGGTCCTCCCGACTTTAGGGCCAGTGCTCTATCCACTGCGCCACCTAGCAGTTCCGAATATGTCAGACATGACTGATGTGCTGATTGATTTTATTGAACTACTTTTTTTCTTCTTTCCTTTTTAATCTTTGTTACAAGGGATGGCTCATTAAGTAGGAGAAATGGAAGGAATACATTCAGAACTAAAGGAGCTACATAAACTAAAAGATATTTATAATTTTTTTTTAAAAGAAAGTAGGTTTGATTGAGGATTAGAAGGAAATAAATCACTCATTTTTTGGAAGTACCATTAATTCTCTTAAGATGACATTACTACTTAGTGCATGGGAAAAATCAGTTTATTGAATGGATTTCATAAGGTATCTAGTTAATGAGAAATCTACTCCTCTGGCACTTGCAGAATGAGACCCAATATTAAAGTATATACTCCCACTGTATGAATACCAAATAATTTCTCCAGCTATCACCTTAAAACAAAATGCTAGTGAAGGTGGAAGTCAAACTTTCTGGGAAAAAGGTGATGAATCTCATCTTTGGCTCTGGTGAAGCGCTGGTAATACATGGAGTTTGAAAAAGAAAAAACCATGGGGTGGTTAGCGGCAATGAAGAACCTTACTAAAGCCTTGCTTTAAAAAAAAAAAAAAACAACTTTCCTAGGGAGTGGAATCAGGTTATTTTTTAATGAAAAATAAGACAAGCAGTTTATTAGTATTAAATATAAGACTAGGCACATAAATATGCATAATCATATCACTGTAAACTCAATATATACTAGTAGAAAGCAGTAGATTTGAACCTGTTTAATCAAAAATGTTTGGGGACTCAACACCGACAAAAATACTTTCAAACTCTCCCCTTCTATACTGCTACAAAGACACACTTGTTACAAAATTAAACGTGAGCTCCCAGAAAACTCTAGCTTTATGCATATGCACAAACGTAAATATGCCTATGCTATTCTAATTTGTTCCTGGTCATACCTTTAAATATACGTAAGTATAACTGTAACTTTTTATTAGAAGAGGCGCTTGTAGGACAAGGAGTTGTAACATCTGAGCCCCTGAAGAAGCTTATTGCATCTGATATCACTAGGGTCCTTACTGGCTATGAAACTGCATTAATTAATAATTGTTAATTATTCCAAAATATTTGTGAGAGATGCTTCAGATTACCAAAGGAAGATAAGTCAACCTAAGTAATTTTAAGGGAGTATGGTAGGGAATCAAGAAGCAATAAGGCAGTAAGTACATGAGAAGGCCTTAGGTATTCTGAGCACTCTAGCATGACAGGACAAGCTAAATGCCAATACAAAAAGGAGTCTTTTCATATTCAAGTCCCCCACCTACCACAGGCTAGCTAAAGAGGCCCCTGAATTCTGACTTGTCCTCACCTATGCTCAGCCCAGCTGTGATCACTTAAAACCACTCCAACCCAGCATATCTATAATACTGTGGGCTCTGCAAACTGCTTACTACTTGTTCTCATTTGAGGTAAAAACAAGAACACTTTATGCTACATCAGAATCATGATATAATATTAAAGTTGCAGAGGACCTTGTTTTACCTATAAGGAGATCCTATGGCATGGATCTGAGAATACAGACCCCAGCACATAATTCTCATTATTTCTTTGTTACGCATGCAATTGTTCTTCCAGTTTACTAATGAACGTAGACAGATAGCATATAATTCTGTAATTACCAAGTCTATAATCAAGCTTAAAACTTAAAAACTGTGAGAATTAGAATTTTTATGGCATGAGAGGGTATGCCCTTTTTATTCCCACCAAAAGACAGACCTTGATGTGAAATTTTAGCTAGCAAATATGGAGACTATTTTTAAAAATAATTATAATAGCAAAGATTTTATTTATAAGGAAAGATCTCAGATAAATGTAGTAATTTGAGGGGGGGATTATAATTTATATATTTTGTTAAATAAAGGCAAGGTATTACAAACTTAAGATTAAAATCAGATAGACTATTATATATTTGTAGTTAACATTTAAAAAAGGTTTATGGAAAATTGCGTGTTTTTCCCACACCTGCCAAGAGCCAATCACTATAACAGCAGTGGGGAACTTGCAGCCTCAAAGCCACATGTGGCCCTCCAGGACCTCAAGTGAGGCCTTTTGACTGAATCCAAACTTCACAGAACAAATCCCCTTAATAGAAGGATTTGTTCTGTAAAACTTGTACTCGGTCAAAAGGCTGCACCCAGGAACCTAAAGGGCCACATGTGGCTTTAAGGCCGCAGGTTCTCCACCCCTGCACTATAATAATGTCTTCTACTGTAATCAATAACCTCAAATATTAATGACAGGAAATATTTCTTTCATCCTTCAACTCATTTTAAGGCATTAGTTGACACTTGATTCCCCAACACACTGACCAACAAAAACATACAACATCTAGAAGTATGTTAGATAAGCACTGGCAGGAAGCCATCTAAATACTATAGCATAAAGCAGATACTATTACCATTAAATAACTTTACACCAAATCATCCTCAAAATGTGACTCAGGATTGGAAACTTTTGACCATAGATGATTATCAATCACAGCTTGAATGCCTGTGCTTTTCAGCATCCACAGTTGGGTGAATACCAGTAAGATGACTGGTTATATTTTTACACTATCAAGTTCACTGTGAGATTGAAACTCGAATTTTAGCATTCAGGAATAGCAAATATTTCTGGATATTCCTGGAGGACAGTATGACCATAAATGAATGTATTATAATGAAACAGTATAGTTCTTTAATTGCTAACAAATAAAAATATCTACAGGAGAGGGAAAATGCACTTATTTCACTCTGATCAATTTCTGACAAATCTTAAGTTATGAAGCATGCACGCACACACATGTAGGTATTCAGAGACATGTACACAAACATGTATATACACATGACATAATGCAGATCTACATGTATATTTGAAGTATTCTATCTAGTAACATGTATGCACATGCACACATAAACACACACAACACTATTTTACTCAGCCTTGTAGATATGGGCTGATACTTTTAAGCATATCATGTTTACAAAGAATGATAGCAATGATGTATGTAGTGGCAATAGAATACATTCATTAGAATACATTCATCTAAAAATTATAAATATAGCCTATTCATTAATATCTTATACAATTCTTATACATGACCCACGTTCTTTTAATCACTGACTAATTCTCTTTAGCTTATAAGTCATAATACTACACTACATGCCATTACCACATGTGGGCAGTTAATGGATGTAATAAACCCAAGGTATGAGATAGTATCAGCTCTTTGTGCACTCAGAGGGTAAAGTTAGAAGACAATGAATGCCATATTTCTAAGGGTAATTCGAGGTAGTGATATGTCTGATCAAACCTAATGGGCTCAGGTTCACACTATGTTAGGAACACTTCTTTCCATATCCATGTGTCCAATAAGATTAAGTGGCACTTCTGTGAATGCTTACTAAATCTGTGCTGGGTTATCCATCAAATGAATGTCAAAACTTCAAATAAAACCTGGTTTTCAGTTTATGCTAACATCTTCTCAATTCCTAACAAGTCTAACTTGGGTAATTTTTTTCTTTGTACACCACTTGGTATTACTACAAGTAAACTATTACTAGACTTTCAGATTACCTTTGATGATGTTATGTCCCAAACATATATCCTAGTACTGTTACTCATACTATTACTATAAATATATTCAACATTCTGAGAAGACAATTGATGATTCAGAAATCCTGCTTAAAAATTCATATCAGATATTTAAAATTAAAAGACTGAAAACAAAATAAATGTTCCTGAAATTACACACATGCATACACCCCACCCGTTATAGCTGTGGGGTTAAAAAGTTGTTATTACATAAATTTTGTGGCTCTTAAAAAGATCTCAGAATAGATTTCAAAATTCTGTTGTTAAAGAGAGCAAGCTCTTGTGGCAGGCAAAAAAAATATTTAAAACTTAAGTTCAATTATTTTTAATTTATGCTTACTTAGGGTTTATTCATGATTGCTAGAGTAAGATATATCCTGGCTCTAATTTTTTGTATAGTTAAAAAAATTTCTAATCTAAAAACCAAGAATATTTAAAATCCTCACAGAGCAACTTATCTACTTCTGCCAAACTATATTTGCTGTTACCAGAATCCAAGATAAATTTTTAAAAGCCATCCTACATGAGGGTATCTGAGAGTGGGAGGAGACCAAGGTATTCCTCTGTAACATTAATATTTAGTTGCTCAGTACTCATAACTCACTGATCTGTGTGTTTGGATGGATGGAAGCATGCATGTATGCGGTTCTTCAGTTAAAGTTAGAACTTTCATGGTGGTACCAAGATCTCCACGTTCACAAGCCTTTTGGGCTCCCACTGCCGTCACTTCCCCTAAAGAGGTTCTCATCTTGCTATCCCTTCTGCATCCATAAGTAGGGGTTGTTTCCCAAGGGCTCAGGAAAAAGAGGAATACTCGATGCATCAGTGAGCTGTGCCAGGAGTTATACCCAGAATATCAAGTTTGTGATCAGGGTCCAGCGTTGACTGACAGAACTTCCATAATGAGCATCTCAGGGTGTTTTTTTTTCCTCTCCTAGTGCCTTTTTGTAGCTTTTTAAATATATGATAGAAAGATTATATATTGATCTCAAAAGAAAAACTAAATTTTATAAGATTTTTAAAAATTTATCTAGAACACTGAAATTAGGGAGAGTAAAGCAGATTTCTCAAATATTTCTGACCTCTCCAAACTTAAGACATACTTTAAAGGAGGTAACATTGTTGCTGCAGTAAACATATTCAATGTCAAGTTTATGATCTACTTACTGAATCTGTTGCCAAATGATTATTTGAATTGGTAAACTCTGATACCAACTCATCAGCCACTTCATTATACGAAGTTGTTCCTTTGCGTTGAACTTTTTCACATACTTTCATTGAAAAATGTCTCAAGCCTTTTCCATTTTTATCTCCTTTTTTGCTTCTTTTGCTATAAAGGAAAAAATAATTTTTAAGAAACTCCTCATGTTAGGCAAAAATGAAATGGTTTTCATTTTGAAGAAATCTATTCAGTTGTATTATTATCATATAATCATCTTGTTGATATCTTTTTGATACCTACAAGAGTAACAGACAAATGTACCTTTTAAATCCAATTTATATACTTCTAGAAACTTTTTTCGCTAAATTTAGTCATTACTTTAGTGTCTTTCAAAATATAAAGATTTCTGTTTTGTGTGTGGAAATCAAAAGTACTACTACTATGAATTTCTTGTATTCTTTAACTTTAAAGAGATGATAGAAGTTCTCATGTTCTGTCTAGTGTTTGATTTGACTTAAATTCTATAGTTACTTGCTAAGCTTTGATCAAGGATACTTTCATTTTCAATAAAATCTCATGCGATCTTCTTATACATAGGTCAACAAAGCCTTAGTTCCATAATTTTCCTAATTTTGGGGGGCAGCTAGGTGGCGCAGTGGATAGGTGGCACCCTGGATTCAGGAGGACCCGAGTTCAAATCCAGCCTCAGACACATAACACTTATTAGCTGTGTGACCCCAGGCAAGTCACTTAACCCCCACTGCCCAACCAAAAACCAAAAATAAAAAAAAAAATCCTAATTTTGGAATAAAATTAACAAATATAAAGAAAAGGTTATTTCCATGAACAAATATATTACATATAGAAAAGTTAAAGTTACAAATAAAATTATGACATCAGAAATGAGAACTGACCTACTTGTCTAGTGAATCTTATTCTCTTGGGGTTACTTTTTTTGGAGGGTGGGGCTGTAATGCAACAGGGCAGCTGCATTTCTTCATTCTGATTTTATCTTTCCAACGTACCTAAGCAGTAATGATTGTGACTTTATCAATGATCAATGACTTGTCTGCCCAACACTAGTCAGTCATTCAAGACAAGCATTTCAATTAATCAACAAGCATTTGTAAAATATCTGTTATGTTTCAGGAATATTTATTTTAACTCATGATAGCTAGCATGATATTCTGCTTTAAAGTTTGCAAAATGCTTTGTGTGTGTGTATATATATATATGTACGTGTACATGTGTATACACACACACACACATTTACACAGACATATAATTTGATTAAAGGCAAAAAGCAATTCCTTCAAATAAGAATGGCTATATTTTGTTGTACATTTAAGAGGTGTTACACGTAGGTTACTACACTCTTAAAACAGACACAATAGTAAGATATCACTGATTATTTTTCTGGATTAGTACAATCCTACAAAATGATAACTCTGAAGAAAAATGTACAAGTCTGAACCAAAATCAGAAAAAAAACACTGCCCAAACACAGAAAGACTTTTACCACAAACGTAAAGTTGAAAGTTATTACTTGAATATGCTCTTTGTTAATAAATGTCCCAAAGAAGCACAGATTGAATTTTAAAGAATCCAGCATGCATTCTGAAAGACATGAACACAGTACCAGAGTAAAATACTATCAGCTTCCACACGAAACCGATATTCTACAGAGTAGTAATAGCATCCAACCTGCAGTACAGAGATTTAAGACTGATTCCACCGGTGTCTACCTGAGCTGTTTAATCAACAACCATCAATAAGCTAGACTTAACATGAAAAGGCTAATGAGGACCACCAAGAATGACAAAATGACATGCAACTGAGCACAATGGTTTATACAAAAGGGGGTCTTAATGAATGTTGAATTGAATTTATCCAACTTACAAATTCAGTTGGTATAGTAGAAAAGATACTTGCAGAGGACTGCAATTCAAGTATCACCAGTCCTTTGACTCTGTTATGAGACTTTATCATTTAAATTCTTTGGCTACCCTTAGTTGTCTTAGTTGACTCATCTGTAAAATGTGGACAATATCAACTTAGCTACTTGAAGGCAGGAAGATGGGCTTAGAACCTTGGGGATCCTTCCACTTCATATTAAGTCTAGTTTCCTTATAGCTGGCATTGATAAAACAGCAAATAGCATATGGCATCAAGTTAGGAAACTAGGTCTCCTCTCCATACACTGCAGCTAAGCCACTCTGACTCCTCTGAAAAACATCAGTGTAGTTCAGAATCTGATGCCCCTTTGGGAACCTCCTTCACCTTCTAAGATTCCATTAGCGACTTTTGTTAGTCAGTTGTGTTAAGGGCTCTTGAGGTGTCCCCTGAATTTGTCTTTTGAGTTGCCACATTTTCCAGAAACGCTGGACCCAAAGTATGCAGGAGGCCCTGAATGTGTCAAGGACAAAGCTCCCCCTGAACTGACATAATTTGCTATTGCACCCCAAGCTGGACCCCCTGCCTGTTCTTGGGAGGCAAGATAGGCACCTGCCCATCTGTGCCAGGCTGGGATAATACTTCTGTAGCTCGGGTCCTTTGCAGATAAGCAAACCCTCCTATCTTCATAGTGTAGCAGTTTCCAAGGGAAAGGAATGAAGTTTTTGTCATCACCCTGCTCCTCCCAGTAGGGACTGGTCTTTGTCTTTCTTCCCCCCTTTGCTGCACTATTCCCCCTTCCATGTCACACCCTTTCCTGCTATTCCCTGCTCCCTTGTCCTACTATTATACAAATGCAAGCTTTGGGTTTCACATGCATGTTCATTTCTCTTGTAATAAACCTGGTATTCACATAAGCCTTGTGACGTTGTGACTGCATGTTGACAGTTGATATGTAGGAAAATGCTACTAGAGGCGCGGGGGAAGAACACTATCTTTATATAATCACTTTCTCCTTTGTGCCTTACTATCCTATCAAGGTGACAGGGAAGACTAGTTGTGAACATTTTTGGAATCTTAGACTGCATTCATGAATACATACACATATACACATTTGCAATCAACCAATCAATCAGCATTTATTAAGTGCCTATTACGTGCCAAGCATTGTACTAGATGCCAGGGATATACAGACAGGGGCAGCTTTGTAGTACAGTGGATGGCGTGGGCTTAGAGCCAGGAAGACTCATCTTCCTGAGTTCAAATCTAGCCTCAGACACTCAATAGTTGTGTGACCCTGGGAAAATCACTTCACCCTGTTTGCCTCAGTTTCCTCATCTGAAAAACGAAATGGAGAAAGATCTTTGCCAAGAAAACCCCAAAACGGGTTATGAAGAGTCAGACATAACGGTTACAGAACAACTGAACAGCAATATATAAAGACAATGAATGAAATTATATCTACTTATGTAAGAGAAAAGGAAAATCATAGTCAAATCTATGACCTATGGGCTATGCATTGTTGTTTTATCACGTAACAGCCAAATTCTCCACTATTCAAGGATTGTGCTATGATTCTAATTTATTTATTTTGCCGCTACTACCACACCTCCCAAAGAGGATGGCAAGAGAAGGGAATAGAAATGAACTGTACTGGGTCTACTTTATTACTACATAATTCTGTTAAAATATTTTCAGGGATTTTCCCAACTGGTCACTAAAATGAAATTCTTGAATTACTTGACTTCATTTATCTATAGTTATTATGGATAATTAGGTATACTAGTCTCAAAATTCAACATTTAGTGCCCTGGCATAAAGAAAGGCTAAACTTAAACTGAAATTACTGCTGTGCTATTTAAACATTTTCTATTTTATATTCTTCAAAACCAACTGCATATTTTGATACATATATTATCAAATTAGACATGAACACTGCAGCTGTTGTCAACTGGCAAAATAAAGCACTCAGATATTACAATAATTCATTTACCTGCTGCTGGGTCAAAATGGCACTAGGAAGCTGAATGTTATTTAAAATATACAAGGTAGACTTCAAGTCCTTTGAAAATGCTGTTCTGAAAGGTGCAATTTTAAGAAAGCAATTTTGTTATGAAATGCTGACTCACTTCCCTTTATCATAAAATACAGCAATAAAAAAGTTAAATGTGTTACCACAAAGGATGTCTTTATCTAGAGAGAATACTACAGAATAATGCAAAACATTTATAAAATCTGTCTCAGTGATGAAAAATAAATATAAAGACAAAATCAAAGTTTGATTTGGAAAATGCTGAGGTTTGATTTGGGGAAAAAAATCATTTTCAGAATTTGTAACTGAAAAGCAATGGTTATCACTTGTGTGGATATTTACATTACAATCTATCCAATGCTTTATTCTAATAAAGCACTTAGGAGCACTGTGCTAGGTGGTATAGGAAGGCACAGCTCTACATAATCATCTTTGCCCCTACCAAGAAACGTTAAGTTTAGCTGGGGAATTTTAAATAACAACATCAGATGAGAATTCTTGGGTTCGGGCAGTCTTGATCTCCAAGGTCTATTCCGGTTCTAAATCCCATGGAGCCTGTGAAACAACAAATATTATATAGATTTCACATGAAACAAAATCAATGAAGGTTTAAATGGCCAGGCTTCAGAAAAGTCCAGATTTTTATCCTGTAAGCAATGGGGTATTCAAGCAAGAGACTGACATAATGATAAAATGTTTTAGGAAGACTAAGCTGGTGGCAATATATGGGAAAATGATCAGAGAGGCGGAAGCCAGTTTTTAATAATTACCCAAGAATGTGACCTCAGACTAGAACAGCAGTAGTGGGAATAAAGAGGAAACCACACAGGGAGACATATTGAAACGTTTGGAATTTGGTGATTTACTGAATATGGTTCAGGGGGCAAAAGTAAATGACTGAGTCAAAAATTACTCTTAAGTTTCAAGTTAGGTGATTGGAGTAATGGTTATTAGTGTAGTTTGTAAATATATTGAGTTTAAACTGTCAGCAGAGTATTTAAATCGAAACATTATACCATTGAAGACACACAACTTGGGCTCAGAAGGGAGGCTAGACAAATTTAAGTATCCCCAAAAGCCAATCATTTCATTATTAAAATAGAAAGCACCACCTGATAGGAAGTGAAGTGCAAACAAAAGGATATAGCTTTTAGCCACATCTAAAAAATTTCCAGGTATCTCACATAGAAATCTCTAGAAATGTGCAGTGTAGAATTTCCAAGTAAACACCTAAGTGACAAGG